TAGGTCTACAACAGATTGTGTATTTTTACTCCATTCTATTATTCAAAATATAGTCAATTGTAAATTGAAACTATATTGCGCATTCATCGACTACGAGAAAGCTTTCGATACTATTGTTAGAGATGCGTTATGGTTAAAGCTTTTGAAACTTGGTATAAGTTGTAAGATGTTAACTATGTTACAGTCGATATATGCATCTGTTACCTCTTGTGTAAAATTGTCATCTTCGATGCCTCTCTCTGATTTTTTCGACGTTACCCTTGGATTAAAACAAGGGGAACCACTCTCGCCGATTTTATTTATCCTTTTTGTAAATGATATATGTGACAACATTGATTATAACTCTCTTATTGACAATGATCTTAACCAGTTATCTATGTATATGTTGCTATTTGCTGATGACATAGCGCTCTTTACCACTGACCCGCACAGCTTACAAGCCCAGTTAGATGCAGTCTATAGTTATTCCATAAAATGGGGTTTGAAAATAAATGTCAATAAATCAAAAATATGTATATTTGAAAAACGTAAACAAAGACATCATTTTCAATGGTTTATAAATGGTGAAATGCTTGAAGTTGTTGACCATTTTTGCTATTTAGGTGTAAATTTTACATACACTGGTAATATGAAAAGTGCTGCTATTACGCTGTCTGAACAAGCTTTGAAAGCATACAATTGTTTGTTAGGGTTATTCAGTAGAGTAAATTTAGATATAAAAACTAAAATGTCACTTTTTGATTCTATGGTGCTACCAATTTTGTTATATAATGCAGAGGTTTGGGGTATTTATGATTGTAAAGAAATCGACAAAATTCATGTTAAATTTTGCAAGTATATACTTGGTGTACGTCAGCAAACATCGAATGTTGCTGTGTTTGGTGAGTTAGGAAGATTTCCTCTTTCTGTTATTTCTAAAGAAAAAACTCTTAAATTCTGGTTAAAAATTATGAAAAACCAGGACTCACCAATGTACAACATGTTTGTAGACCAGTGTAATCGAAATGTTGATTGTAATTGGGCAAGCAGTATAAAACGCTTGTTAGACAGCTTAGGTTGTAGTGATATTTGGCTTAACTTTAACTTAAATTTTAATTATATGCCAATGTTAAAGCAGCGTCTGCGAGACCAATATTTACAGAACTGGAATACTTCTATACAAAATATGCCCAAGCTTGATTATTACAGAAAATTTAAAACTTCTTTTTGTTATGAAAAATATCTTGATGTTTTAACAAATAATGTGATAAGAAAAGATTTTGCTTGTTTCAGACTAGGCTTGCATAACTTAGAAATAGAAACTGGAAGATTTTTTAACATTGATAGAAACGATCGCAAATGTAAACTATGTATATATAAAAACTATGTATATATAATTCTATTGAATCAGAATACCACTTCCTTTTATGTTGTCCAATTTATACTGTTATAAGAACCAAATATTTAGGAAACATTTCATGGCCTACTATACAAAAATTTTCGACTATATTGTCCACTTATAACAAAAAGCTTATTCTTAAATGTGCTCACTATGTTCATAATGCATTTAAGTTAAGGCAACAGTCTCTTGAAGATGTAACTGCTTCTTAATTAGTTTCATTCTTGTACTCTTTTTGTTATATATTGTATGATATAATGTTTGTAACTATTTAACTTTTGGCCATATTTGTCATGATACTTTGTTAATGGTCAAAGGTAATGTTTATTTGCCGATTTGCCAATAAAATGAAATGAAATGAAACTGTAAAAACAATGACACACCTGGGGCAGGGCCAGTTTTGACCCCAGGGCTTTTATTTGAACAATCTTTGTAGACACTTACTAGAAAATGTTTCATGCTTAATATCTAAACTCTAGCTATTCGAGTTTTTTTCAAAGAAGATTTTTAAGTTTAATTTGCTATACACATTTAAGGAAAATCAATGCCCCCCGGGGCGGGGCCAATTTTGACCCCAGGGCTTTTATTTGAACAAACTTTGTAGACACTCACTAGAAGATGCTTCGTGCTTAATATCTAAACTCTAGCTATTTGAGTTTTTTTCAAAGAAGGTTTTTTTAAGTTTTTGCTATACACATATAAGGAAAATTAATGACCCCCGGGGCGGGGCCAATTTTGACCCCAGGGCTTTTATTTGAACAAACTTGGTAGACACTCACTAGAAGATGTTTCATGCTTAGTATCTAAACTCTAGCTATTTGGTATTTTTCAAAGAAGCTTTTTTAAGTTTTTGCTATACACATATAAGGAAAATCAATGACCCCCGGGGCGGGGCCAATTTTGCCCCCAGGGCTCTTATTTGAATAAACTTGGTAGACATCTATTAGAACATGTTTCATGCTAAATATCTTAGCTCTAGCTCTTTGGGTTCTTTAAAAGAAGTTTTTTTAAGTTTTTACTATATGCATATAGGGAAAATCAATGACCCCCTGGGGCGGGGCCAATTTTGACCCCAGGGCTTTTATTTGAATAAACTTGGTAGACACTCACTAGAAGATGTTTCATGCCAAATATCTAAGCTCTAGCTCTTATGGTTTTTTAGAAGAAGATATTTAAAGTTTTTTCTTTCGGTTGCCATGGCAACCAGAGTTCTGCATGGAATTAAATTCTTTGAACAATTTTCAAAGGTGACCACCAAAGGAACATTCCTGTGAAGTTTGGATGAAATTGGCTTAGTGGTTTATGAGGAGATGTCATTTAAAGTAAAAGTTTACAGACGGACGACGGTCGGACGGACGACGGACGGACGACGGACGAAAAGCGATCACAAAAGCTCACCCTGTCACTTTGTGACAGGTGAGCTAAAAACAAAAAATTATAATTCATCGATATATATGTATCACGTATAATGTGCTTGTATTTTTATAACATATAAGGAACGATCTTTGTGTTATTCCGCTTAAAGTTTGATAATAGTTTTACAATCTTCTTTAGTCTAAATGTATCATTTACATGAAAAGACGTTAAAAACTACGGCCTTATTTCTATAATATCACATTTGTCCCTGTAATAAGATAATCACTGCAAACGAAATTGAACGGGCAACTATATCAAGGATTAAGATAATATGTTTTCTTTTCATAATTTTCTACTTCATTACATCAATACTGGATATGTTCCAACATTTCCGTCTTGCAGTATTACGTTATTAAGATTAATAACATTATAATTTAAATCAAAGTCATTTAAATGATTGATTAAGCTTTTACTGATCTCGGTCATATGATATGCTTTATGGCGCCAAATCAGATGAACGCTTTTAAAAACCAACATCATGTTCATGCAGAAAACCGAAAAATAAACATGTACCCGGATTTTTATCATAAAATTGCTACGTTTCCGATACGTTGCAAAAATAAATTTCATAGGGTATCAACTCGCAAGCATACTGTTATAAGTTTAACTTAATTATAGAAGAGGTCGGCTAATTATTTACACATTAATATAAACATTTTGGTCTACATTATACAATAATGTATACAACTATAGATTATTTACGCAGTGGTTGCCCCTTTAGACACACCTGACGTATATTGTAAACGAAATTTATTCTACCTTGATTCCTGTGATTTATTAAAATCAAATCAAAGAAATTCTTTTGAACAAATCGTTAAATTAAACGAATTTACATTGATATTTGTACAACTTGCAGAACAAATATTGGATAAGTGATAAGATTTTTTTATGTATAACTATTAACTGCAAAATGATAAATATTCGAGATTAATATACTGAAATGCAAAAGAAAGTGTGCACTTGGATACAGGGCATTGTATACTTATTTATGTAAAAATATTGTCATAATTGGTATCAAATGTTGCAGAAATGTATTGACTACACGTTGGTTTAAGTTTAATTTTCAAATTGATCATTATTACTTTTGCTACTTGTAAACACCTCGGGGTGAAAAATAAAATTGCAGAGTTGTGCTATGTGTATTTATGTGTATTTATCATTTGATACTTGGTCTTTGGATCCCAATTCAATAGGATGAAGCTAAAAAATTCTGATAACAATCAAATTTCAATTAAAAATAAACAATCTTTTGGTCCATACATTTCTGCAAATTTTGATACCAACATTGTCACAATTTTGCTGAAGTATGTATACAAAATTTCCAAGTAACCAAGTGCTCATTTTCTTTTGGGTATAAGTATATTTCTGCAGTAATATCAGAAGAAATTCTTTGCGTTAATTTCGAAATTTATTTGTTTAAACTTAAAACATATAGCTTAGTTAAACCATGCGACCGTCATTTCTAAATTTGTAACCCCTCTAATATATTGTTGATTTATGAACCTGCAAAGCCTTTGTAAAATATTTTCCTTGTGGGGGACAGTCGGATGCTTAAGTCATCGTCGAATTCCCCCTCCACTCCGCCGCCAAACAACAATTCCCGATTTAATTTGGCACAAGCATTAATCAGTAGTGAAAATCAGGTCGGTCTTGCATATGTTGCTTTTTTATATGAAAGTCTATACTATAAAATTGAATGGAGTATTTTTTCCATAGATTGTAACATATAATAAAGAAGAAAAAAAGAAGAAAATTCGTTCAAGTGATTTTTCTATGTTGATTAATAACAATCTGTCGGTGGTTGATTTGGCACTTGGGTTGCCTTTATAATGATGCCAGAATAAATATGTTAATCAAGCAAGTACCAACATTTACCTGAAATTTAATGTAGGCTAAAGAAGCAATGTATAAATATATAGCTTTAAGTCATCACGTTCACTAGTAGCTGGTATTAACTCGACCAACTTGCCATTCCTTTCCTATATCGACGGAAAATGTCGAGTTGTGCCGAATGTTTACTATAACTCAACGTATAAAGAACAAACATCTTTAATCTTTGAAACATATCTCTATCTATTAACGTATCTCTTAAAATTCAACTTTTAATATGGAATGACTATTGATGTTTATCATGTTTGTATCTGTTTATTGTATATACATGTATGTAAAAGAAGAATAGAAAAGATTTATGTCTTTCTTTTTTCAGGTTTTAACGTTTGCTGGTTCACACCAATCATCGGGGCAAATTTGTGTCGTCCTTTCTGGAATACTTATATCTAGTCTGTAGTACTACATACGAACGATCTAGTCACCAAAATGCCGTCCCTCCAAAACGTGAGTTACAACTCGTCACGTGTGCAACGAGCTTACAGAATAAACAATATTGAAACACTCAAACTAAATAATAAGATTCAGTTGCTCGAAAAGGAGCGGTTACATAATCAGAGGTTGACTAATCAAGATATCAGACTTATATCATTGACATTGGATTATATACAGACATGTAGTGGTCATAGTGCCGAAGGGCTTGCCCCCGATGTTATTTGGGAAGAAGATGAAGAAAAAGAAAGTCATAGGGGGCCTACATTTTTATACGGCGAGAGAATTGTAAGTCGAAAAAAGCGACGAAATATGCGGCCACAATCAGCTATGGAGAAAACGAGCAGCAGACTGGGTAGCGAAACAGCGTCTACTGTTTCTACAACAGAACTTGCACTTCGGCCGCAAAGTAGTCCGAATCGCCGCAAGCCTGCATTTGTCACACATCTTAAAGATGATGAATCAGTGTTTTCCTCAAGCAATGAATCAGCCAGGAGTGGGTTTAGCACACCGTCTGAAAGATTTAAACCTGCATGGATGGATGAACCAGTGCCTGACGTAACTAAAATATTACTCCGCGCTGCCAATAACAACAACAGACGCGAATCAGTCTTCAATCGTACTAGAGCTGGACCAAGGGAATCAAGCTCTTTACGTGGTTTAAGAAAGAGTTCATTAGGCTTGCCAACCGTTAGATCAGCAGAAGACCAACCTCAATCGCACTCACCGGAACGCGGTTCGCGCATTACTGACATTCTTAACCGGGGACCTAAAACAACAATGTCGGCAAGCGCTTGGAAAGCACACTTGAGTCATGCTCAGACTGGTCCGGTTTCAAGCTCTTCACAAAAACAATACGTTCTTGAAACTAAGAAAGCCATGAACAATACTCGAACTGAAGTTCTTAGGGGTAGAGTTAAAAAGTTCGTTGAAGATTCAGAGTGAATCTAGTCTAAACATTAAAAAATACTTGCATATTTTAATTACATGAATTTCGTTATTATAAAAAAAGAAAAAAATGATATTTTATTAAACAGAACACAATTTTTAATTTTATGGTTTCATAAACTGTTTTCTCCAATTGTAGCGGTCAGTTTTGTTGAGAACTAACTTTAGTAAAACATTTACTTGCCTGCAAATCCATTATTATTTGCATAAGATTGTTAATGAGTGTGCATTGTTGCGTTTTCCTAATTACATGCGAGTGGAAAACACTAATTAAAAGTCAATTTCCGGTCTTGTCGTTTAAACGAAATACCGGGTTTTCATTCCATTCGTTAATTAGAAGTGTATACTCAACAATCAATGCAAATTCAATTACTTGAAAATCATCTCTTACAGAAATAGTGCAAATTTCCAAAGAAAACGTTGGATATGATTTCGTTGTCTTTTAATTTAGTACAATATCATTCATATTTTAAGTAAAGCAGTTTAAATGTTTGAGCCTACGAAATATAATTATGTATAGTGACACCAATGTCACCATTTTGTTGTGCTGTTAACAAAGATAACGTTTTTGTCTCTACAAAATAAAATCAAATTGTTTCAATTGTACTCGGAGAATTGTTATTGACAAGCTGGTACTGATATTAAAATGACACACAATTCATCGGATAAGAAGTAAGTTTTAATTAATTTTACCACGATCAAAGAAAGACAAAGTGCTATTACAACAGATAAGACAATAATAAAACATTTCGTGAAGCGTTCATGATTCCTGTTGTCGCTTTTGTTCGATATATGTCTAATTTATACCTGACATTGTGGAAGCCATATTTAGATTAAACAAATACCTTTTTCCAATCGTATCTAAAAATATAGGTCTAATAAATCAAAGTTTCTGGTAACACCAGGTTTTGAAAAATCCAGTCTATATATACATGTACTATTTCTTGTTTAAAACAGTATATCGGGTATTTCACATTCTAAATTTTCTGTCTCAGCTTCAATCTAAACGGATAATATATGATTCGTATAAATAATGATATATAAATTATAAATAAAACATGCAATTCAATATAATCACCTAACTATTGAACAGTTTTGAACACTTTTTGTGATAAGCGGTAAGAGATCAGTAAAGTTTTTAAAATTCCTCGTCAGATATCGGGTTAGACGACGTCCTGTGTCTGCACGTGGGACAGGGGCGACGTCTCTGTAACGACAACGTTGATGATGACGTAGGACGGTAGAGGTGGACCAAACATCTGAAAAATAAATGATTGTATTATATATACATGTATAATTTTAATTTCAAACATTGAGGAGTAAAGGAAAACTCTAAAATAGCAATGCTATGAAAGTAGTCGAAAGTAACTTTTATTAAATGTACAAACATGACGTGAAAAAGTCTCTAAGAAAAATGAATTATATACATACTGTCAAGTGCTTAGTTAATAACTCGAACAAACCTTTCATGTATGATATGGTAACAGGGCAGGGGACGTAACTTTTCATCTTTTGCTCCAATGATTTCCGTGCACACCCCACAATACAGCTGTAACTCATTCAACAGCTGGCGCACGTGAAAACCGTGCAGTTGAGAAAATTCCGATGATTCTAGATACATGTAGATATCACAAAGTCGTCGGTGACTCTCCAACATATCGAGCTGGATATGAAATGTCAGAATATATGTGTAGAGATACGTATTTGATCCGCGTCACAACAAAACCAACATAATGGGTTAGCGACCAGCATGGATCCAGACCAGCCTGCGCATCCGCGCAGTCTGATCAGGATCCATGCTGTTCGCTTACAGACCCTATAACAATTAAAGAAACTGAAAGCGAACAGCATGGATCCTGATCAGACTGCGCGGATGCGCAGGCTGGTCTTGATCCATGCTGGTCGCAAACCCATTATGTTTGTTTTGTCGTGACGCGGCTCATTTCATATTTAGCATTTTATCAACAATTAAGTTTTATAAACTCGTAAAAACACTCGACATATTTTGCTAGTTTTCGTGCCTTGTTAAAGCAGCATTCCTCCAGATTCATACTCATTTTCGATGAAATTTTGAAAATGTATCAAAAGTAAAATATCGTGAATTGAACAAAGAAAGTAATTTATACGTCAAGTCCACGTAAATAACCAAGAAAGAGGTCAAAATATGCAAAAATAGCCCTTACTGCGTTGGCCACACAGTAGAAATAAGGCACTGCATAGACAGTCATAAATCGCACATAACAGGTAAATTATTGCTTGAATCTATTAACTTTTCTTAAAACCTTTTTTTCTTCTCATTTTCAACATTTTTTTTTCAAGTTCGATTTTCTTGAAACATTTTGGTTCATCTAGAGTCATGCAGCTTTAAAATGAAATTTAGATTTATACCAGATGCACTATTTGACAATTATTTATAGGATATGGCATTTTCCCCCCATAATTCATGGATGTACTATTTTGCTTTAGTTATCTGGAAAGCAAATTAATTTAAGCCTCACGAAATTCGCTGCAGTCCTGGATATGCGATTAAGTCATACAGCGGACGATTGATTCAGGAAATGGAAGGTTCGAGTCTCGACGGGGTGTTAATGATACTAGAAAATGTATTTTAATAACTTTCCAATCATTTCACAGTACTTTGTAATCATACGGATTTTAGATGAATTGAAAATAATTTGTTTGATATTTATACTTGTATATGACTAAAGTTTCATAAGCAAAGATTTGTATACAGGGCAGCCAATGATTGTGATGACCCTCTCCCCTAATGCAATCATATCACGATGCTATATTAACACTTACCTTAGAATCTATTTCTTGTGATAATTTAAGTACTTTTTCGTTCAGTTCTACAGCCTGTATATAAAATGAAGAAATACCACATTTCAAAATACACTATGAACATAAGTACCACTTAAACTAGAAACACACAAATAAGCTAAACGATCTAAAGCTACGTACATTTGTAATGAAAAAAATGTATTAAAAGAAGATTCTATTTATATACCTGAGAAATTAGGAAAATAGTTTTCTTGATCTTTGAGGGAAAGTAATTATTTCGCTACAATAGAATAATTCTCTTTTTATAAGTTAAAAGCGTGGTAAATTTATCATGATGGCTGGAACCAGGTGGAATTTAAAACGTTAATTTACCGTGTAATTATTGTGTAATTATTACTGAGTGATATAATTATTCAGTTTACTGCACTGATAAATTAATATTATTTTGTTTGAAAATATGCACTTGTATATTTATCTTTCTCCCCATATATATTTATACGATTTTCAGGGGAATTTTGTAACAAATGTTGGAAGAATTGGCAGCTAGCCTGCTGGTATCAACTGAATGTACTCATGCGACCAGTACAGACCACGTTGAGCCGGCATATAAGTGTCGTCTGATCATTGTCCACACTTGTCGCCGCTATTCAGTCAGTACTTACTTTAAACTTTCCCTTAAAATTTTGAACGTTTTTGTCCAGATTGAAAAATAGACAAGTCCGTTTAAGATATTTAGCGAGGTAAGGGTTAAAGACCTTATAAACTAATTTTTCTAACTTTTCAACAATTACAACTAGACATATGGAAAAAAGTACCACAGCTCCTGATAGTTCTATAGTGGAAATGCGTAAGGAAAATATATCTTAAAAATGCGCATTACTTTCGGATTATCAAGTGTGTGAATTTACTGAAGGTCCACAGTAATTATATAAAAAAATGCGAATTTAGAAAATCCAGGTATTGTACCTTTAAATGTTATAAAGAAGGAACCTAGACTATGCGCTGACTCTCAAACCAATCCTGAGAAAAAAATGTCAAAAGCATAGAATATTGCCTCAGTGCCTGATGTTTCATTCACAGATCAGAACAAATACATACAAACATATCATATACATGAACATAATGTCAAATCGTGAACGTACAGTACTGACAATTGCTCTATACTATTGGGACTAGCAATATCTGTTGGGTGATTACACGTTATTAAGAATGCAACGTTCATTTTTGTTTCCCCACCACAAAAGTTATATTCAAATAAAGAATAAATTAAATATGGCCGTTGCAATACTTTTTTCCATGCGAACATCATGTGTTCATTTTTGAAAGATACAAAACGTGACTTGCAAAGAAAAAGATCATAAACATTAATTACGACACGAATTTTTTCTCAAAGATCAAAGTGCTATTGATAACAGCCAAATGATTTCATAACAGCCAAAATATTTCAAAAATTGAATTAGAGCGTGAATGAATATATGCACATTTTATTTTATCTTGATTAATTAAAATTTAAACCGTGACATATTTGATACGGAGCCTGGTAGGGGTAGGGAGGTAAAATAATGATTGCGTAGATTGACCATTGCTGCCTGGCAGGCTGTATGTATTGTTCAAAGAGATAAATGTTATAAAACATATGGTTTGTTAGAAGTTTTTGTTGGTTTTTAAATTCTTCCGACAGACTTTAATAGCATAGCGCAGGTCCATATATAACATCTCTTGGAAAAATAAAGAAATGTCTTTTAAAACAAAGTAATTTTTAAACATAAATAATGTATTAATAATAATGTTTGGCAATAATGGTGGGCATGACGAATGATATTTTTACCTGTTCCATATCTTGTGAACCAAACACACACAGAGCCATACCGGAAAGTACGTCAAGTTGGCACTTCCGGTCACCTGTCTCCATAGAGATGGCGTATGCTGACTGGTATCTAGGATACGCTCTCTGTAAAACATTATTATGTTAGTGGAACATTTATTATTGTGTTTCTAATTAAAAAAAACAACAAAACTTTAATTATAAAACGTTTTATCTTCTAATAAAAACAAAATAAAAGATAAAAGGCTTAAAACTCTATCTAAAATATCAACAAGATTAAAATATTTCAAATATAAAAATAAAGCTTTTTTTATAATTATTTTTTATTACTTACTAAAGTACACTTATTTAAAAGACGTTCTATGTGGTTTAGAATTTTTCCTGTTCTATGTTTATATAACAAATGCAATTCATCAAAACTAAAAGAATGTAGCGGTTATAGGTTTAACGATAACAATTTATTAATTAAAAAAGAAAAAAAAGATCAGATTTTAGTTATTCTAAGAACGAGTTCGGGTCTTTTGTCTATAAATTTGTGTTATTTTCAATTTTTACTCTTTTTTTCCAAAATGATGAAAATTTTAAATCCAACGAAAACCTATGTATACATGCACTCAGAGTGTGAAAACTTCGACGTGGTATCTTTCAGCAATGTTCATATATTGTAACTAGATGATAGGTATATATCACCTGGTAATTCTGTTTCTCTCGGTGAATTTCTGCAAAATTGAGTAAACACCTCGCCTGCACGAGCCGGTCACCATGGGTGAGCGCCTGTTTCATGGCTTCCTGGAGAGAAAACACATAAAATAACGTGTCGTCACTATAATATTATGTTCTATTAGAGTATCTAGGTTACTGTAATGTAAAACTTTCCATGTATTTGTTACTGTAAAAAAAATGATCTGGGAAACAAAATGTTGTCGTGATGTAAAGGTAACTAAACTGTGCAGATGTCCTGGTGGGTTAGGTGTATAACCCCGAATTTCGTGGTTGGGTCACAAATATACTTCTTATTTTACATAAATATTAGAAATACAGAAAATTGCAGAGGAAACTACAGGAGATTTCATAACAATCGAACTAAAATAAATGTATTTAAATATTATGTTACTTTAGTTATAATTTTCTGTATTTCGATTATGATTTATGAAATATTTATATCGTTATCTAGATAAGTTTGTCTGATTTAAAGGAAAGAATATAGACTTGTTATTAATAGAAAGAAACCGAAAGAAAAAATAAATATCCCATTGGTAATAGGTTGGAATCAAAACTTTAAATGTTCATTGTAAAATGCATCTGGAGATTGACTGACAACAGATTTTCTTTCTTCAGTCAAAATGGCCAGTACATAACGAGTTTTCCTGGCTTTTCAGTTTTTTAAAGCCCATATTTTCCATGAAACAATCTGCGAATATCTCCGTAGACCTTACCTCAATAATAAAAATAAACGATTGATTTCTGCACATTATACATTTAAAACTTACACTATAATAATACATACATATTTGGAAGCATATTTTTTTATATTCGTCTTGTTTATAAATTAAGGTCAGAAAAGTAAATAACTCCAATTCAATTATTTTAAAGTTGCCCAAATATTCATTCTCTCTCACATGTACGAACCTAAATAATTTAAACATCAATTACATTTTGTTTTCACATATATTTTTTTTGACCATGCCTAATTGATATATCACAACAAATAATCATGATTTTTTTAAAGAAAAAAAGAAGGTATTCGTGAAAATACCTTCGTGCAAACTTATGAATTCGGGAGGGTCTGGAAAAGTTATAAAAACTAAAGCGATCACATCTATTGCAGATAGCCGAACCAATTAAATATAATTTACAACGTGGTTTGTTATCGAGTTTTTTACCGAGAAATTTCGAACGCTGGCAGATTATTGCGTTATAATGACACTTGATATATTGGGTGAACTATTTTTTATATCGTAACAATATTTCAGGGGAGATATAAGTATCATTAGAAAGATTTTCAGGAATCCTCAAGTAGTTGATTCCTCTCATAGAATGTAATTATTGAAGCGTTTTATTGAGATTTTCTGCTGATTTATACTTCAACTGATTACAGATAACAGTAGAAATATCGAAACGTTTGAAAGACAAATGATTATGTTTAGTTTTTGAGGAGGAAAGACAGACTTTACTAAACGTTCTAGTAGACAGATAAACAATGTATTTCAACAAACAGGTCGTTGAGCAGAGCAGTTTGATATAAGCATACATTAGAAAGAGATATTTAAAGTGGAATTTGAATTTTCATAATTATTTTCATAGTCACGCAAACAATGGATAAGATAAACTTTAATTAAACTTTTACCTGGAATTACACATTCTGTTTTTTCAAGAGCAAACATTTTGAAGGTAAAGTGCTAGATGCACAATGTTTTTAAGTTCCAAAGCCTTCTAATTAAAAGAAATATTTTCTCTAGAAGAGAACTCTTTACTCTGTAAAACATTGAATATTTTGAATATATTGAATTAGGTTCATTTAGCCTGAGAATGTTCTAAAACAAGCAACTTGCTTGCTGAAATATTAACGATTACAATTCCCAATGCTGTCATTTGAAATTCAATCAATCGCTTTTGAAAAGCATTTGACAACAATTTCAAAATTTAAATCGGTTTGTTCGAATTTAATTTTATTTAAAAAAGTAACTGGTTATTTATTGTATAAGTGGAAAAGTTTTTAAACTATATTTTGGGCTTTGACTAAATCCTTAAGGTAGAACAATGGACAGTAACCTATGACCACACACTATAGGTATTCTTTAACCAGCAAAAAAAGAAAAGGGCTAAAATTTAGCTATTTCAAATGTTGGATTTTACTGAGAACTTTGATTTTCTTTACAATTAATCGAATTAATCGAGTATTACCTCGCATATTTCCAGTGCTTCCCCGAGTCGACCAAGTTTGGCATAAACTACTGCCATCTCAACAGCCACGCGACGCTGATATTTTACACATGGATGATTCGCCGAAAATTGCCGAGCTATTTCAGACGCTCTGACGTAATGCTGAAGGGCGGTGGCGTTGTCTTGCAACGTCATAAAGAGTTGCCCAAGTCCCATAAAAACTCGTAATTCCAACACTGTATCACACAAAATCCGTGAAACATGTGCTGATTTATCATAGTGTTTTAAACTCCTCCGAATTTCACTGAGACCGTAATAACTATTTGCCAGACATAAATGCGCATATCCTGAAAGCGGGGTCATATCTACAAGATTTTTGCACACTAAACTTCTAGTGCATAGAGACACCGAAGTTCGATACTCCCCTAATCTTTCATAAGCACGTGCCATGTTAAAGGTGGCCTCTGCCTGCAGGGCATCATTCTGCATCTGACCGCTAACGACTACCTGACGTTTTGCACATAATAAAACATCGTGGTATCTACCCAGCTCCATATACACCAAACATAGATAATTTAAATTTCTAAAAATATCCTCTTCTTTGGTCAGTTTTTTACATGCATCTTCAAGTTCAAGCAACGCCTCAGCATAATTCTGTTGGTTGTAGAGAGATACTCCGCGTTCTGAATGTCGCTTTGCGATCCTCTGTCCCATGATAGACCCGAAACATAGCATAAGTTCCACTCTTCGTTTTATTATTATTATTGTTTTTTTGCCTGGTTATTCCTAGCTTTTCATGCTGTTGAGAAACAAATCTATTGTTAAGACCGTAGCGCTTAATTTGCTAAGAGCAAAGGTAAAACTCCTTTACCTCGTGTTTCTGCAGCTACCAAAACAGAAGACGAGGGTAATTAGGTTTTCAAAGGTTTTCGTTTTAACATAAAGCACGTGCTAATAATCAATCGCGCGCGGAACTAGCGAACGCTGGTAATCTATATCCTAAATGGACAAACACTTCAGATCGTTAAAAAAATCTCTCCTACATTTTTTCCATCAGCTTTACCTCAAAGAAAGATTTTTTTACGCTTTTATAACCCGAAAAATATTTCACTATAGAATAGGAGCGTATGTTGTATTTCTAAGAACGTGAATAAATTCTAAGGAAGTAAGGTAATTATTGCCAAGTACTTATAAACCAACAGTTGATTGATGATAAACTTTCCTGAATTTTTTATACGTACCGGGCATAGGTTCTGGTAAATTAAAAACTAATATAAACACATATTGAAGATCCACGATATGTTTGTTTCATGCTCAACAAAAAACGAACTCTTTGTATTAAGATGCGCCGAAATAGATTACATCTACTTTGAATAACAAAAGGCTAAGTTTTGTAATATAAAGGCGTATACAGGATCTGTATTAATTTTCAAGGGCTATATATAAATATGTTCTACAAAAATTTGTGTCAGAGCTAAAATATGCTATATTATATAATCAATATATATCACTCACTGTTTATCAATAACTGTAAATCACTCATTGTATTATCTCATTGTATATCACTTAGTGTTTATCACTCACTATATATCACTCACAATATATCACTCACTGTATATCACCCACTTTTTATCACTTACTGTATATCACTCACTATATATCATTCACAGTATATATCTCACTGTATATCACTCACTATAAATCATCCACTATATATCACTCACTAGATATCACTCACTGTTTATCACTTACTGTGTATCACTCACGGTAAATCACTCATTGTATATCACTCAATATGTATCATTCACTATATGTCACTCACTGTATATCACTCAGTATACATCGCTCACTATATATCACTAACCATATATCATCCACTATATATCACTCACTATATATCACTCACTCTCTATATATATACTGTTTTATCACTCACTTTATATAACACTCACTATATATACCACTCACTGTATATCATTCACTGTTTATCACTCATTGTATATCACTCACTATATTTCACACACACACTGTACATCACTCACAATATTTTCTCGACTGTTTATTATTCAACGTATATCAGTCATTGCGTTATATCACTCACAGCATACAACGCAAAGTATATGACTAACTGAAGACAACTTGTTACATATCACTTACTGCATTCAACTCACGGTATATCACTTACTGGATAAGATACACTGCATATCACTTACTACTACATACAACTCATTGAAATCACTTAGTTCATACAACTCATTGAAATCACTTTGATCTCACAACTCATAATATATCACTTAGTTCACACAACTCATTGTATTTTACTTAGTTTATACAACTCATTGTACATTTGTATATCACTTAGTTCATACAACTCATTGTATATCAACTAGTGCATACAACTCTTTGTATATCACTTAGTGCATATAACTCATTGAAATCACTTGGGTCATACAACTCATAATATATCACTTAGTTCATACAACTCATTGTATATCACTTAGTGCATACAACTCACGGTAATACAACTCACTTACTAAATAATACACATTGCATGTCTTTCACTGACCACTGTATATCATCGGCTAAGAAACCTTACTGTTTCATCAAACAAGTTGATATAGAAATATTATTATCAAATGAAGAATGTATTTATACTTCTTACTTATTATTGCTATTTTCAAAAACGCCAGGCATATGATGAGAAAATCTAAAATCTGTATTTCATTTGTGAGTTGCTATCTATGCATACAAGCAAATGCCATGTGTCTATTTTGGGAAATGATAAATTATAAACATAATCGAATGTGATTTGCGTAAATTTAAAGAAAATAAAAAAACCAAGGGAAGTAAATGTAACGAAATAGAAATTACATATGTATAACAAGTTGTTTCCCTTGAAGAAGTTCAGCTATTAAATACCATGAGTTGTAAATTATATTGCAGTTTCCTACCATAAACTGTCATTTACTTTATAATGTTCTTATTGTCTTCTAAAAATACTAGTGGAAGCCAATATAGGCATCTCGGTCCAGGATAAGTTGAGTGGGTTCATTGTGAACTGGGCCTGTGCCAGAAAAATAAAAAATAAGTTCAACGTGGACATTTGAGCTCCTATATATTTCTAATTGTAGGATTTCAAATTTCAGTGGCACGTATTGTATTTCAGTTTTACTAATGTAATGTAAGATGATAACTAGCCCTATTCCGACTGTTCATTTTAAATGAAAAAAAATTAGAGTAGCGACAAAAAAAGAGTGTTTTGTCATTAATTTTTTAACCTATTCACAATATAAAATCTAAACCAGTCAAACAGAAAACTAGAAGTTGGACGGACGTGTATTTTAAATTGTTTGATGTGAGATACATTATGCTTATGTTAAATATGAAATACATTTATTTCAGGTGTGTAATAACAGCGTTCTGTGTGAGGTTTCGATTGCGACGAGATAATTGGTTTGCCGCCCTAAATTTATTTCGTATTAGAAATGAAAAAAAATCTTCTCATAAAGTATCTGATGGTTACAGCCACTAAGAGTGTTACAATAGAATTTAATCACGTTCGATGGTCGCTGATCAATTATTGACCTCTCTTTATTTTCATTAAAATTGCTCAACTTCATTCCAGGGTAATGACAACTCACTGATCATCAAACACATTTTGTTTTTATCATGGAATGTTAAAGAAGAATATTAAATAAGTTAAGGTGTCTCTATCACAATAAACGACATTTACTCTCACTGTATTACTTTACTACTTTTCATTTATTATCATAAATCTAAAAAAAATGTAAACTGAGTCTTTTGTGCTACAACGTTTGTTCATGTACCATGACATTGTACGTTTTGTATATTAAATTTGCTTTACAAATGTCTGTTGAAACGTCTATGCCCTAAATATATACGTCAATAAATTGTCTATCATTTATTATAATACCAAACTGTCATTTAAACCCTTATAATGTTAATCGTCGTCATCAGAATCATTATCATCAATGAATACATTATTCTTTTTTAACACATCATTACTGTCATTATATTAATGATATCATCACAATTGTCTTCATTGATATCAGCATCTACATCACCAAAGGTGAATAACTTATTTAGCATAACTTTTTTTAAAAACACACCTTATTATCGTCATTATCTTAGTAATTTGTTATTCTAGTAATTATTATTTTTGGAGATGCGTTCCATGTTGAATCGTTATCATTACAATAATGTCATTATCCTCTGCTTTTAGTCATCTACGGTTCCATAGTTTTTCGTCAATTCAGAGTCGTCATAAACATCATCCACATTATTGCTAGTCTTATTTAAGATATCGTTATTATCATCTGGTTGTTTGAAATCGTCATCAGTAATATTATTCCATCTTTTAAGAAAGAGATCCCGTGAATTACATCGAACCCTGTCCACCTTGTTGTTGTTGCTGATAATGATTTTGATGAAGATGATGATGAAGATGATGATAAGGATGATGATGATGACAATGATTATTTTAGTGCAGAGAACAAGACAGTTTTCATATCTTAATGAAATGTTTTAGACTTATGTAAACCGTTCATTTAAGACATACACAGATACAGTATGCCTGTTTATTTTTATGCCTATAATTATATGGGCTCTATCAGTCCAGAAAAGAACCACATGATAGCAAACTAGGATAGATTTGGCGGGAGCTGTATACGGCGTGACATACCTCCTTATAATTTTCTCATTTGGTAAATGAGAAATATATAGGTTATTGGTCAGTTTAAGAGGTATATATTACTTTAATCTTCTTTTTGATCTGTTACACTCTTAGAAATCCAGTATAAAGTGAATACTCTAAATAGATAATATTTTACTCTTCTATAATCATAATCCGACGGTTTTCATTTCTTTATTAACGAAATGTTAAAAAAAGTTGACGCATATAACTGGCAGTTATCCTATTGAGGTCAATACCACTTAAAGTATCAGCAAGACGTCTTAAAAACCTTGTTATTTATGTAAAGCTTGTTCATTTATATAAATATTATATCGACATTTTAAAGCAATTTATTTTATACTCTGAGATAAAGTATTTTCTCTCTCTCTAAAATTAGTCATAATTACGAGTATATATGTTGCCATCCATGAATTATGGTGGACACAGAAAATGACCAGTTTACCAAATACTTAACCATAGTGACCCTACAGACTGTAGTTTCCTTGACCAGTATTTTAGAAAATATTTTTTTCCAAATATTTCAGATTGAATTTTTGTCTTAACTTTGATTCGTGTCATCTATGTCATCTTCTACAGATGTATAGAGAAAATAATAAGGTGCTTCTTTGGACGAGTGGTTACGAATACCGACGTCGAGTGGTTACGAATACCGACGGCGAATGGTTACGAATACCGACGTCGAATGGTTAATACCGACGTCGAGTGGTTACGAATACCGACGTCGAATGGTTACGAATACCGACGTCAAGTGGTTACGAATACCGACGTCGAGTGGTTACAAATACCGACGTCGCGTGGTTACGAATTCCGACATCGAGTGGTTACGAATACCGACGTTGAGTGGTTACGAATTCCGACATCGAGTGGTTACGAATACCGACGTCGAGTGGTTACGAATTCCGACGTCGAGTGGTTACGAATTCCGACATCGAGTGGTTACGAATACCGACGTCGAGTGGTTACGAATTCCGACATCGAGTGGTTACGAATACCGACGTCGAGTGGTTACGAATACCGACGTGGTCTAATTGAAATGCCACTTTCACCCCACTATGTAAGCATATGCAATTTCTATCGCCTAAAAATGCAATAAATACTTGAGGCCCCCAAAAAACTAACCAGACGGTCATTGAAAAGAAAAGAAGAAAACAAGTAGAAAAATATCATATAGATCTTAGTTTAGGTAGAGTGGTATAGTTCAAGGACACAACGATAACATTTAATGAACTTTGTACTTTATTGGTTTTATGAGATGTTTACAATTTGAATTTGAAATATTTATCAATACACGTACACCGTTTCCAAATTTATAGAAAGTTAAGGATAAGGCACTAAATTCAATGTCAAAGTGTTAGAGTATTATTACTGGAAATGTTCTGATTTTATGTGACTAGATATTGACCCAATCATGGTGATAATATCAAAAGTGTGCGAGTGTTACGGTGGGTAACACTTTTTGAACCAGCGGTCATGAGTTCAATTTGTGCTAATCCTACTTTAATATCAAGAGATTTTCATATAAGACGCTACTTTAAAAGTACACATTAAACAATCATATAATCTATCAGTAGTATAGAATAGAACAAAAAGAAGAAAGACATGATGGCGACACGTGAATAGTCACGTGGTTAGACTACGAGTAACCGGCGGCGAGAGTAATTTAAGTCAAAACTTAAATTTAAGTCAAAACTTATTTCCTCACATCTAGCCAAAATCCTGCTCATCATAATACTTCACTTTTATGGATTGAATTTCAACAATTTGAGATCCGAATCTCTTTCTTACAAGGCTTTTTCATTCCACTATAACAAAAATTTAACAACACCAAATGTTTACTGTTGTCGTACAACATTACAAAACGACGCATAAATAAAGATCATGTGAATGTTTATTTCTTTTCAGATATACATGTAATTTCTAAAAAAAAGACCACTTTAAACAACATATACAATTATACAAACGTATGCTAATTTATACATTCATACAATTACATACCAAATAGATAGAAAATACCAAATGTTAAAACTAAGGAACACATTCAATAATGCTAAAACATACCGGTATATTAAAAAATCAACAACACATAATACATGTTGTTAAAAATAAATAAAAAATCTGAGGTAATATTATTTAAATTACTTTTTATATAAAATAAATCACAGATATCAATGGATTTAAAGAGTCATTGCCCTACACTACATGGTAAAAAAACACAGTATGTAAGATTTATACAAAAACACAAAACTAAAAATATACAATGATCGTGTTTGCCATGTACAATAAACAAGTTCAACAACTATATTTGTATACATATCATATGTCAGTGTTTTACAACAAATACTCAATGGGGCTTAACATACCAACACTCTTGACTGCTTTCTGTGCTTTGTAGTTAAACTTTTATGCACTGAGCATCAATGTCACGTGGTCTGCACAAACTTCGTTTAGAATTTTTCATTAAAGGGGATCACGCAGCACTTCTTTTCGTAGTTTATTATACAGCTTGCAAGTACTGAGAAGCTGATATTTAGTTTATTTTTCTCGATCCAGACGTCTTTGTCAGCGTTATATCTGTATTGTGGTATACGTGTTGTTGTTGTTGTTGTTTCACTATCATCATCGCATAATACCCCACCCACCACATATATCCTGTCTTGTTTGACAAACATTCCAAATCTTTTTCTCTTGACAGGTTGTTGTGTACAAAGCCTACCGTATCCCTTACTCGGATTAAAGCGGATCATGTGACCTTGATCGGTTGCTATATAGATTCGATCATTTAAGACCACTGATTGACCTCCTTCAAACGCTGTTGGCAAATCTTCTAGACGCTTGATCTCGTGGGTGTTGATGTCATAACACTGGGCAGTCGCCACGGGCCCGGCCGGTGTTGTCCCGCCGAAAATATATATTTTATTTTGGTAAACTTGACATACTGCAGACGTAACCTGTGTAACAAGCGACGCTCGTTCAGTCCATTTGTTTGTTTTTATACAATACTCCTCAATACAGGACACTTCACGCCCTCCGAGTGCAAATACAGAATTTGACCCAGTGGTGACCATCATGTGATGTGACCTGCCATGTATAAGCTTTGCACACTTTTCCCAACGTCCCAGTATTATGTCATATTTCATCACTAACTGCTCATTTTTCATCACTCCTCCGCTTACGATAATAAATGGTGTCCCTTTCACATCAAAACTAGTGCAAGCAAAACCTTCACCGAAATTTTGCAATTTATTAACGTCACGGTGGTAAACGTTACGTTTTTGAGACGTGTCTATTACAAGTACCTTTATTTTCTGTGTGTCTGTTTTCCCACTAACGACAGTGTCCGTAAAAACAATGTAGTATTGAGGAGGGTCGGAATCATCAGGGTTTGACACGACACTCTGAGACCTTTGGTATCCTGTTGCCGACTCCATTTTCACTTCATTTTCACAATTACAGCCTTCGAAACATGATATTATTTTTGTCTGATTGTTCACACGACAAAATGTTATGCAATGATCTCGTAGTTGTTTGAGATGTAACAATGAAGATACATGGTAAAAATGATGAATATTTTCCATTGTTAATTGGGCATGCGCGAGATTACCGGAAGATAAATACGTTGCTATTTCCGTCTTGGCATCTGGAGAAATATCTTGAACGTACGCGAGGACTCCGCACATATCTGCCTTGAGATGAGGTTCTGCATTTGGTTCTTCATCCACACTTAAAATTGTTCTTGATATTTGTTTCAACAACTTACATCTTGAAGAGCAATGATCCCCGGTTTCACCTCGGTAACAGGCACCCTCGTCAAACATATCATGGTCACCTGGCTGTGATGCCATTTCTACAGTCTCCGAAACTGGTTGAGATTCGTTACCCTTAATAACTTCATCCTCAACATCATCAAACGCTTGAATATCTAATGCCATATCGCTTTTCGAGCTTTCAATCGATGCACATCGACTGAAAGATTGCAATTCTAAAGAAGTCGTACTACTGAAAGATTGCATCTCTACAGATGTTGATCTGCTGATAGACTCAATACTGTCAATGTATTTAAAACTGTCTCCAAGTTCTTCTACTGACTTTAAACGTTTTGTAATAAAATCATGTTTTGCCTCTTCTCCACATGATGACAGCCGTCGCTTTCCTTCGTAACTTTCCATTTTGTAAACAGTGTCACTATCTCCTATAAATGTAACAAATAAAACAGTTTAATATATTTAAACCACTCTTAAAATCACACGCCTAACCAAAATCTTGTTTCAAACTGCGTATAAATTGTCCGCATGAGTATGTATAAATCGATGTTACTTGATCAACGGATAGTTAATTTATGAGATAAAAGAGATGATGTGTCAATATATAGATCTACCATATATCATCATTCAATATTTAAATATCTATTTTGAAATAACAGCTCCACTATTTTAAAAACATAGTCATAAATCTGAAAATTTCCGTATCTTTTTATGCGTTTTAGATGTTTTTATAAACTGATGGAAACTATTGAAGAGTACAAGCTTAAAAAAATGTTATCAGTATTTTGAAATGTACAAACCTTGATAGAAAATAGATAAATCAATTTTATAATACTAATATTTGATTACGAATTAGGTTAGAAGTGACACGTATATCATTTTAATAAATCTCACAGTCAAAAATTACACCAATTTAAGTTGATTTAAAGTTTCGTTTACTTAAAACATTTATATGATATATGAACAGCAGATATCATAAGAGAGTTAGTATGTACCCAGTCTAGCACAATAAATGAGGAACATATTTATTAAGATATTATTTTACGTGACTAGAGTGCTTCTTAACCTTTTACACGAATAAACATTTTGATTGAAATACTTACGATTCTATAGTTAAAAAACAACAGTAAACTTATATATTCTGATGTACTAGTATACATTTCACAACCACCAATAAAGCCACTCATATACACAAATGCAAACCCACCCAAAATCCCGAAAAAAAAACCAGACAAAAAATGAACAAACAGACGTGCTCGTGAAAAAAGACTTGATATAAACTTATGTATGTCAAGTTTGCTTTAAAATCGATATCTGAACACGTATAAACTAATACAGTATTTGAAATATTAAATATTTTATTGCTAATACCTTTTATATCTTATACCGGATTAGTGGTTATTAAGTTAATGTAATATTTGTATTTTGGTAATGGTACTAACATAAAACAGTTGCAGACAATGTATAACATACTTTTGTCTGCATTAAGACATAGAGGATATTTGTTTGTTTGTGTGTAAGATGAAATTTTATTTCATCGAGTGGGCTTTAAACAGTATTCTCACGAGTGGCGTAGCCACGAGTGAGAATACTGTTTTTAAAGTTCACGAGATGAAATAAAATTACATCTTACACAACAAACAGACAAATTTTCTTTTTATTTTATGCTTAAAAACAAGTTAAAACGAAATTTCCGTAATTTTAACGTTAATATTAAAATCTGTTTCCCCCATTGAGAGCCCCATTTAGACGGAATTTCTCATTTAAAACAAGAAGTCTTGAGCTGAAAAAAAAGTCCGCCAATCAAGGTTAAATGACGGTGATATTTATTCATTTTATCAAAAAATATGAATGATCGCTTGTTTTAATAATAAAAAGAAACAAATCTTGTAGGAGAAAAAGTCCAACCATCCATCCATATTTCTGTTACTTACTGCGAATTTATATTAGACCTGGCTTTGTAAAATGTAAGCGGCAGCCATTTTTTAAAGTTGTGTATTTCATGGGAGGAAAATAATTGTGTAAGATTCAGAAGGATATGTTTTGGATTTGTTAGTCATACACCATTTTAAAAGAAAGAAAACTTATTTGAGGATTGTAACAGACAAAAAATAACTGTTGACAGAAGTGAAAACATTCAGAAAAGGAGCTAGGAAATTGGAAAACTTGGAAGCTTGTTAAGGAACGCTGGGTATTTTTTACTTATTTTACGAGTGATGGCTGTCAATGCTTTTCAATTTTTCATAAAGCATACGGCAGTTATTGCTCGTAGGATACTTTAATATGCCCAAATGTCATCAAGAGCAGTTTTGCATGGGGAAGGAATGTATTTTTCAGACTGTAAAAACGAAACAAAAAACATTTAGAGACGAAATTTTGTGATAGGAATAGAAGTAAGTTTTCTCTCTTTACTACTTTTGACATTTAAGTTATTTATCTATTTCAGCTTTGCTATTTCTTTAAATAGCCTGACATTGTCAGAATTGTCAGTAAAAATAAAATTGAGGTACTACATGGGGAAAATCTGAAAAAAAGTAGTTTCGTCATTGAAAAAAGTGAAATTATATTTTGATAATTTTCACTGTGAAATTATCAAATATAATTTTCACGGATAAATCAGTAATCCACTGAAAAGCATAAAATAAAAGAAGTTTACTATATCTACAGGTATTATTAATCTGAACACTATACATATTGTGTAAAGTCAGATGCAACTTAAAATTTTGTAAAACTTTAAAGCTTTGAATGAGCAACTTAAATATTAACTGTAAATCGGTTATGTACATGTTAAATCCATAAAATTTATAGTATACATACATTTGTAAAACAAAGCTATAGTCCTGTAATCTCCGAAAGTTTCCTTTGTTGCTACACAATACTAAATTAACAAAATCACAATATTTGTTATGATTTTTCTCTACGAACGGTGTACGTGTATTTATACGCAGTTAAAAGCGTCCGTCAACTTTCCACTTCACGTCACATGAATATTTTTAGATATGTAAAGTTTTATCTATAGTGCACGAAAAAAGTTTTTTTTTTCAAAATTTCAAAATATATTATGTATAAATTTTATAGAATAGATTTTTATAGGCTTGATTTATTTGGTGAAAAATTTAGTTTAAAGTAAACAATGGACGACGGGTAGCCACTAACCAACAACTTTGAAAAAAATGACCAAAAGTTGACACTTGACAAATGGTAACTTATAGTTCATTTATTTGACGAATGTATCCAATAATATAACGAAGATAGACCAACACTTGTGAACAATGGTTTAAGTGAATGTTGTATCATAGTTTGGGGACCTTTCTGTTGAAAAAGTGTCAGAGTTAAATCGTATGCATATACATGCACAGTGCGGTAACTGGAGTGCAGGTATCAGTTACCCGCACTCCAGATCATGCCCGTTGATTGGCTCATTGTTGCAGGGGTTTACATATTGTAACGGCAGAGAAAGGGAAAGCGGCAGAAATATCATATTCAGATGCTCGATCATTGGTTACTTTTTCCCGGGGTTTAAAATTGTGACAACAGGGAAAGTGTTTTTATGTTTGACTATGATACAAAAGAGAAAGAACACCAAAACACTCGGCATTCTGATTTATACTCGGGGGCTACGCCCCCTCGTACAAATCAGATAGCCTCGTGTTTCGGTGCTCTTTCTATTACAAGACTCATAATTTGACAATAAGGTGTTCAAAAATTATGATTCTACGATTATACAATATAGCTTGAATTGTTCAATTTGTAATATCCGAATATTTTATTCTGGTTAGTATAGCTAAAAATGTTTATACATCTATAATGAGTAAACAGGCTTTCCCAAATTTGATGAATCTTTAAATTTCCCCAGATTAAAAATAGAATAAGATGCTTTTGTTAGATATTTAAATCATTTGTAAGCGACACTCCCGAGGAAATATTGTTTGTTCGTGCATGAAATTATTGTTTTCTATGCATTTAAGGTCACTCACCTGGTTAACAGCCGCACAAATATTTGAAAACATTTTAGATATTACATATTAAGGTGATCAAGTGTTATGTTTACATATCTGTCAGGTCAATCAAGCAAATATTTTTAAAAGAATATTAACAATGTATGCAGCCAAAGGCAGAGTGGGGTTCTATGTACCTACAGAACATTTCCCTACAATATTACTTTCGAAGGGAAGTAAACGATCCGATACGATTTATAAACTGGTTGTATATTACTTCCCTTGATTTTTCACTTTTTCCAATTCTCCACGACCGGCCATGGTTGATAATGAGTAATCCATTACAAGTAGCTCAACAACAGTATATGGCATCCCTGTCTGGTCCGCTGCAGGGACATTTGTTGGTCGTACTTGCTTAGACATTTAAAAAATACTTGTTTTATGCAAATTTTGCATTAAGCGGTCAGTCAGATAGAGAAAGTTCCAAGTACCACACAAGGTTCGAACTTAGAATTGTTGGTATATAAATCCAATACCCTATCACAACTATGACTAATACATATGTGACATGTCTGGCATCAACACGATCCCATAGATATTCTGACAGCACCTGGGGTGTAATCATGTCAGCTTTTTTTATACAAAATGTATACCTATAATTACATACCTGTAATTGCATGAAAAGGGAGTATGTGACTAGTGATAAGTAAAAACTTTGTAAAATGTACATTTTATTTTATTAATTTACATTTATATAATTTTGTATATGGCACAAATAATGTAATATAGTTTAATTATTTATATTTATTGCTGTTAGCACCAGACATTTACATGAATACCGATTGACACCATGTGTTTCTTCCATATTGGTAACAAAAATTAGTAAATAAATATGAGCTGCGTCATGACAAAACTAACATAGTGCGTTTGCGACCAGCATGGATCCAGACCTGCGCATCCGCGCAGTCTGATCAGGATCATGCTGTTCGCTATCAGTTTCTCTATTTGCTATAGGGTTTGGAGGCGAACAGCATGGATCCTGATCAGACTGCGCGGATGCGCAGGCTGGTCTGATCCATGCTGGTCGCAAACACACTATGTTGGTTTTGCCATGACGCGGCTCATAAAGTATATATAGTATGTATAAAACACAACGAACCAACTGCTCGTAAGTTATACACATTCTAGGCCATGAACTTCCAAATTTTCATTTTTACACATTGTTTTCCATCAAAAATGATAAAGGTGATATTTTTCAACACACATAAATTAAGTGTATACACTATATTAAGTTTATAATTATTTATAATATACAATACTACCTATTTTAAAACTCGATAAGCAATATTTTTCACAAATGGAATGATTCTAAACAATATGTCTATTCTCAAAGTTGAGCTAAACAGATAGTTTATTAAACTTTTATACTTTTTAAAGGTTTTAATATGTAAATAGCAAAATGTAATTGATGTCAAAATCTGTCTTTTTAATTGAAGAAAAACAACAACCGAAAATGCTAGCAAATAATGCCTTTCTTGATCTTTAGAATAACAAAAACAATATACAAGTACGAAAAATATAAACAATAAAAATAGTGTGATATAAAAAGTGACAAAAAAGTTATGCTCTTCTTAGTATCATATTTCACAAACTATCTAGATATATTACCCTTTAATTTTAACCAGACAAAATATATCTAAATGTCATAATAATTTACCCCAAATATCACTTCTCTTAAATGACTAGAATACTCAATATTTTATTCAATTTCTTCTCGTCGACATTGAAATATAAAAGCACCGACTAAATATTCAATCAAATAAAAAAAGTATAGTAACATGAGAAACAATCGTATATATACAGCACAAAACCGACTTATTTTGTAAATAATTTCTAGAGTTTAACATTTAACACGAAACGTGCATATTTTAGTTAATTTTAAATGATTACTTAGTTTACTGAATAAGGAAACATGCTTCTCGAAGTTACGTTATGCAAAACAGATGTCTACTTTAATGGATATTGTGGATTTAAGTTAGCATAATAATGATAAAGCAATACCATCTTGATGTTAAATATAGAAAAAATAGTCCTGATAGAAACTTTATAAGATTGTCCGACATGACAAAACTGAAAATGTCGCATGTCCGGTTTGATTGAGCCTGTTCATAAACTGTTACAATGTGCCTATAAAAATCAAATATGTTGTTAGTCCCTTTGCCTGGCAGCTCGAAGATACATCGTACATGATGGTGTATCTTATACTAGAGTGGCAGATTAAAAACGTACCTATTTTTTTAATCAAGGTTTTACTGATGTTTGGGATTTTCCAGACTCCGTAAATACTAAAAATAATTATGTGTATCGATATTTAAGCAAAGGGTAAATGACTTTTTTTTTTTTACAAAGTTGGCCTCATGTTAAAGAGAACAGTTCTGTTTTGTATCTGTAACATCATGTTAAAGATTTACATAATTATGAAAATTATCTCGATACAATACTAGTACCCAATACTTTAAGAAAATATCTTACAAGAATTAGAATATCTTCGCATTCATTGCATGTGCAAACTGGTAGATATATGAATAGAACTGGTAGAAATGAAATAATATTAAATTGTTTATATTGTAATGTACATGACGTAGAAGATGAATACCATTTTATTTTAATTTCTCCTTGTTATTTTGATAAAAGAAAAAATATAAAAAGATACTAGTACACTAGACCTAGCATGTTTAAATTCATTGACATACCAAATATGACAATATAATTATACTTGGTTGTAAGAGATGAAACTTCCTATATAGTAGATACAACTTAAATATATTTAAAATACATCCTCTATATGATTTAAAAAGGAAATGTTTAGATTTGATCTTGTGATTTATGTTAGTATGTACTGTAAAATTGTTTATATTTGTATGACAATGTATAATTATACAAGTCAAAAATACAGTATATGTTCTGTTCAATAAGTAACGAAATATAAAATTTTAACTTTTAATATCTTATTTTAAATTGTTGCTATGTTTAACTTGCTTTTTCCCAGAGACATAGTACTTTTCGAAAGCGTTTTTTATTAATACTATTTTGTTTTAAATTTTTTATACTATTTAGTAAAAATATTTAAGTCTCTTTTTTTTACCAATTAAAAAAAAGAAATATGTAAGAAAAATATCAATATAAAATACCGAAATAAACACGGTTTTAGTCAAAGTAAAATATAAGAACAACATACATATACATTGTATATATAACAATCAAGCCGAGTATTATAAGAAAGAGTGCTGTTACATACATTCTGGCATCATGCCAAATTTCTGTTTGTTTATTTACAGCTACACATGTTAACAACGATAATGAAAGTCATTTTTACAAATATTAGATTAAAAAATAGCAAAGAACTAGTGTTGAACAATTAAAGTATAAATATTAAATAACTTGCCAATAAAACATTTTGACTTTACATTCTATTAAATTTTCCATGTCAGAAATATGCAGTAAAAGAAATTGATATTACAGTATATGCCAACGTTTTATTTCATATACTATAATAATTGTAGAGTATAAGTGCGAAAATACGTTATGATAATAGTGTTATACTTTAGACGCTCGTGACAGAGTTTCTACATTGGTCTGTAGTTGTGAATCACTCCACGGCTCTGCGTATTTTAAAGATGTATTTTCATGGTCCTTTATTTCTTCATAAATGTTACTTTGCTGTGAATCAGCGGCGTAATGGTATGTCTGTGATGTAGATGAGTATTCCCCGACCGTCGGCAATGGTCGGTTGGCTAAAGTGGAACCAGAAAATGGTTCCTCGTATGCCTGATTGTCCCTCACGGTGGACGAAAGTCTTGAAATATCAGTACAAGCGTACGGATGAACCTCAGCTCGTGCATTGTCTCTTTCAACTTTACCAGGCTCTGGGAGGCAGAATTTTAATTTCTGCCAAAAGAACCTTTCACCGAAATGGATAGATTTCCCCTTTTTGATAATTGTTTGTACGACTGGATCGAGTTTTGTTTTGGCGTTT